TCCAGGTTTTAGCAGGTCTGGATGGAGCTACCTCCCTAGAGCACCACAATCCACTCTCGGAAGGAGAATGATTGTGCTGGCCTAGTCTCGTCCTACATTTCTTCCAGGCTGATGAACTTGAAGGCCATCACCTCTAGGAGCAATTGTCATCCTCCTGGACACTTCTCCAAATCTGACTTGGTTTAGGGAAGAGCTCTCAGCCTCTACGTGGGAGTGCTAAGTGGGCAAATTCCCTCCAGGGAGCCAAGTTGTCCCACTGCAGAAAGAGCACCTTTCCATAACCCCAGCAAGTACTCAGATTCTTCCTCCAATGCCTGCAGCTGGGATGTGCAGATATTGGGGTCACAGAAGTAGGGAGGTATAGCAGTGGCACTGTGGATTTTGTAATCCATTCCCACAGTCCCTGAATGAATGACTTCCCAGTGCACAGGCATGTACCACGTTATATCTCTGTGGAGGGATTGATCCTGGCTTCCTGTTCACAGTAAGCCATCTTGTACCAGTTGTGTGACTTAGGGCAAGTCAGTCAAATCCCTCTCTGTTTCCTTCCCTGAAAGTGATGGATAAGTGAGGTAGGCAGAGTGAACTTTGCCAGCAGGGCTCTAAGGTCTACCTGCTCTAAATTTCTGAATTTAACAGGTCTGCCCCAAGCAAGATAAGTATCCTTTGCCTTTGCAGGGATGTGGACCTGGCTGCCACTGTGGAACCTGTACAAAGCCCACCTCTCCTCTAGCCAGGGAAGTGTCCTAACTTAGGGTGGGACTCCTCTTCAGAGTTGGCACTCGCCCTGTAGGTGGGCTAGCCTCCCACTCCAGGCCCTTGGCCGAATACCCCTCAGAACCTCCACAGCAAGGCAGCTGGTGGGTGTTTGGGACTTCTTACACTTGTTGATGACCACAGAGCTCTGTGAGAAAAAGTACTGGATTTAGGGAGAGCCCAGCCCTACAGCCACAGCTACTGATGAGTTCCCACTCAAGACCGAGCTTCTCTGTCAAACCAAAGGGGAGGGAGGAGTCCCTAGTCTGTTTTCAGAAGGGAACTCCTGAGGGGGTGCAAAGCTAAAAGCCCCTGCCAATGTAAAACTGCAGTCCTCAGCAGCGGGCCCCCGGCCCCCCAAGGCAGCCCTGGACGACCGGCTGAGCTTGTCCGCCTGGTTGCGGGTGGGAGTCTGCACGCACTACAGGATTCCCATGCCTGGTGTGGCCGCGGCCTGTCCAGCTGAGCACCGAGACCAGCGTGCTCAGTGCCTCCAGGAGCCCCCTGAGAGGAGGGAAGTAGGCCTCCTTTCCTCGGGGCAGACGTGAGAGCCAGAGCCCGCCCTGCCGAGCCAACAGGCGGCTGCTGCCATACGAAGCACATTA